TGTGTTTGAGTAGTTAAGAGTTTGCAAGCATGAAATAAGAATTATTAGGTCACTGTCAATTGAATTTGAGGAAATCAAATCAAGATCCAGACATTATTCTCCGTCCTTGTCGGCAGATCAGACCACGACCCAGTGATCTGGTGCCAGGCTACAGGTTCTCTGTCCAGCATAGCAGCCAACTTCCATCCTGACTTATGTTCACGACCGGGAAACTTTGCACAGGTCCAAGGAAGCTGTGCTGTAAAACCTCTCCATAGCGCAGAAACCCAGGGACAAAATCCTCCCTGAGATTATGTGACACACATGTTGATCTGTGAAAGTCAGTGCATTCCAGGAATTGTTTTGATAACGACAAGGCAGGGAGCTTGTTTATGGCTTTAAGCCTAAACCCTGTTTGTTCCTATATTAACGATGTAAATCTTTAAACTATGAGACTAATACGTCTAAGCTTTTTTCTCCCAAAAAATTGAAATGCCATTCTTAGACAGTGAGACTTTATAGTAACTATTAATTTAGAGTAAATAGTGCATCTGCAGAGATTTTATGCTCTAGTGAGTTTTTAAAGCAGCAGGACAGTGGGTGTGGATTGATTGATACAATGCCCATGTACATCTAAGTGAGGGTTAGATCTTTGACTTAAGTTTGTAAAGTAAACATTGGCAACGATGAATGAACTATCAGGATTGGTAGTGGGATCAATTTTTATCTTTTATGCTCCACGTATGTGCTGGAAGCTCCAAGAGAGCTGCAGGTCAGCTGCAACTCTTTGTTCTTTAAAATCAAGGCTGAAGACTGTCCTGTTTAAAATGGCCTTCTATTAAATTAAAAAGTAACTAATTGCTCACACAGCACGGTTACTTAGTCTTTTATTTCTTGTTTTATACATTAATTGTTATTCTCTCCTTTTTAATTGAATCCTGTATAATCTTAACAAGGATGTTTTGTGATGCCTTTTATATTTTATATAAAGGAATTATCTTCTCACCTTTGACCTGGTGACAGACAGAAAAATAGAGAAAACCTCCAGATGAATAATGTTCATTTGAATTGACATAATCAACTTATGACAACATAGATCTCTGCTTGTAGAGAGTAAAATAGAGACCTTTAGGCTGACCTGCATGAATACAGAGACCCTGTGTCTATAATATGTTGAGTGAGAGTGTGTTTTAAACAAATCAAAGTATGTTGACCCTCAACAAACCTTCAGTGTCTCTGTCTGTCTGCTCTTCTCTCTCTGGCCTCATGTCACAGTGTTATTCAGGCTTTTGTCCTTCCTCGGCTGCCGTACACTGCTCGCCTCTGATTGGTCCACAGCAGACACGATCGTTTGGAAAACGTCCGCCGGGTGAGTGAGCTGAAGCTAACCACGATGCTAACGCTAACAACTCTGATACAAACACACATCCCCGTGTTCACTTTGGTTCGCATTGATTCCACGAAACGTGCACACAGTTGCTACACGTGTGAGGAAGCTCTCACAACAAATAACACGCGAGCATTTTCTATTAAATACATGGCAATTAGCGGGTTAGCTACGCTTTTTAGCTAGCGGCTAATGCTACACACACCTAATATGATCTGTGATTGTGTTTGGGAAAACATCAACATCACTACACTCGATGCTCAGCGTTAATTAAACAGGTTGTTTAAGCAGAGGAAGACTATCGAGAGCTGGTTAGTTAGTCTGTTAGTTAATTAGCCACTTGGTTCGGTGCTCGAGAGCTGATGTTGCTAATGTAGCAGCAGGCATCAACCTTTGTTTTCAACCCTCAGATCTAACATCAAGATGAGTCTGAGGAAACAGACCCCGAGTGACTTCCTGAAGCAGATCATCGGGAGACCGGTGGTCGTCAAGCTCAACTCAGGGGTCGATTACAGAGGTGAGGCAGCTGACATGTCTCTGCCTGCAAACTGTTCGTGCAGTGTTCCCTGTAAACCCTCATATTCATGCCTGTCATCCATGTGTAGGTGTGCTGGCCTGTCTGGATGGTTACATGAACATCGCCATCGAGCAGACAGAGGAGTACGTGAACGGGCAGCTCAAGAACAAGTATGGAGATGCTTTTCTCAGAGGAAACAATGGTAAGATCGATTTATATTAACGTTTCTATTGAAATAAATGACCATTTTCTTCCTTTTACATCTTTGCACATAAAACACAACTGTCT